TTCTCCTGTTTTCAGCCTCGAAACCTCTGGGATTACAGGAATGCACCACCATGCCCACAGGGATTGAACCTACCAACTGCTCAGCCTAAACAGGCACTGCTGAGCTGTCTGGCCTGCCCTACCAGTTGATTCTTAAGGCATCTGTTTTCTTAGCACAAAATGGCTAGTCTATGAGCAAGAGAAGATGGGAGACAAGAAAATCAGATCACATTTCAAATCGTATGGCCAATATTAAAGAGTCTAACTAAGCTTGGTTATGTTCATGGCCTCAGGAATTTAGTGAGGCCATGAAGGAATTCAGAGGGATTTTTTTTGTTTGTTTTTGTTCTTACTATATTTTCCTTTTTTTTGCGGAACTGGGGATTGAACTCAGGCCCTTGCGCTTGCCAAGAAAGTGCTTATTCTACTGAGCCATCTCCCCGGCCCCTATATTTTCTTTTGGTTTGGTTTTTGTACTTGTTGTTTTGTTTTTTGTTTTTTGAGACAAAGTATCATTATTTATCCCAGACTGCCTCTGAACTGGAAATCCTCCTACCTCAGCCTCCCACATACTGGGAGAAATTTGAAGTTATCAGATAAATATTTATTGAATGTTTATGTCAGTCATTATGTTAGACCCTGGAGCATATGTCCATGAACAAGATACTATAGATGAATTTCCTTCCTTTATAGATGTTACAGTTTCAGTAATAATTCACTTTGATTAGAGTAATATCAGCTATATATTAAAGCTCTGTGCTAAGCTGCTGGGAGGTGAGGTGGGCTATGTTTATGGTGGTATAAAAAATGTAGGGAATGAAAAATACTTTTAAGGGAGGACTACATTTAGATTTTTTATAGACTTTAAGCTCTTACTATAAATATGTTAAAAGAACTCAGGTCAGCACTAAATAAAGGAAGATCTGATAACACTGACTCATCAAATAGAGTACAACAATGAAAATATAGTTTAAAAGAACCAAATGAAAATTTTAAAAAGTATAAGTTAAATAGGACTGAACAGTAAATTTGAGATGGCAGAAGAATCAGCAAACTTTAAGATAAATCAGTTTGGTCTGGGTGTGCTAATGCACACCTGTAATCTCAGTACTTGGGAGGATGAGACAAAAAGATCACTGACTTTGAGGCCAGCCTGGGATGCACAGTGAATTCAAGGCTAGCCTGAATTGCACAGTGACCCTGTCTCAAAAAATTAAAAGTTAAAATTCTTCCAGGGAGGTAGGGAGGTGGTTTTTTTGTTTTGTTTTGGTTTTTTTTTTTTGTTTTGTTTTGTTTTGTTTTGTTTTTTGTTTGTTTTTTAAGATAGGGTATCATTCTATGTAATTTAGGCTGGCTTTCAACTTGCCATGTAGCCCAGGCTAGCCTTAAACTCATGGTAATCCTCCTGCTTCAACCTCCTGAATGTTGATGTCTTCTTCAATCTCTCTTTTCAGAGTATTTTGTTTTTCATTATAGAAATCTTTTTTTTTTTTTAAACAGGGTCTCACTACACAGGTTCACTCTTAGTGATCCTCCTGTTTTCAGCCTCCCCAGCACTAGGATTACAGGTGTGCACCACCAACCTGGATTTGGTCGCTGGCTCAGCCTGCCTAGGGTTAGGGCCAGGCCAGGACAGCATGAGGTACCAGGGATTAAACCCCTAGTCCCTGTGCTTGCCTAAGCAGGCACTTAGTCCACTGAGCTATCTCGGCGGCCCTCATTATAGAAATCTTTTCACTTCCATTGTTAGAGGTTTTGTTTTATTTGTACTGAGGATTGAACCTAAAATCTTTTCACTGAACTACATCGCTAGCCCTTCTGTTTTGTTTTGACATGGGGTCTCATTAAGTCATTAAGGTGCCCTGGCTGGACTCACAAATTTGCAACCTTTCTTCCTCAGCCTCCCAGAACACTGAGATTACAGATGTGTACCACCACATTCAACAGTTTTGATTTGTTTCCATTTCTCTACTTGCCAAACTCATTATCTTTACTTTTTACTTTGTAGGACATAGGCAATATATTTGTCATAATTCTTTAACATCTTTCTCTACTTTTATGTCCTGTGTACAGTATGAATCTTACTGTTTGTTCTGCTTGATGGGAGTAGAAACTATTCCTGTCTGTATAGGGCTGGCCAGACAGCTCAGCGAATTAAAGTGCCTACTTAGGCAGAGCACAGCGGCCAGGGTTCAATCCCTGGCCTGCCGTGCTGGCCCTGCCCCCAGGGGGGCACTGAGACAGCAATTGAGACTGGGCATGGTGGCATGTGCCTGTAATCCTAGTGCCTGGAGGCTGAAAACAGGAGGACCACTATGAGTTTGATCTATGTAGTAAGACCCTGTAGACTCTGTTCTAAATACATGGAAAAAAAGAAACTATTCCTGACTGTGTGTGCATTTTGGGGATTGTTCTACTTATTCTTTTCTTTCTTTTTTTTTTTTTTTTTGGTATTTAGGACAGGATCTACAGGGTGTACAGAGTATACAGGGTGTACATGGTGTACAGGCTGGCATGGCATGTGGTGCCAGGGATTGAACCATGGTCCCTGCACACTTGCCTAAACTTGCCTAGGCAGGCACTTTAGACTGCTGAGTTATCTCACCGGCCCCTAGTTCAAAATTTGTAATGGAAAGTTTAGTTCAGATACTGTAGCCATTGGGAGGCTGAAAACAACAGGATCACTACAAGTCCAATCTATGTAGTAAGATCCTGTAGACAGTATCACTTTTTTTATTTAAAAAAAAAATGAAAAAAATGTCTAGGCCAGTGGCAAACCTGTGGCACACACATTATTTCTTTTTAAGACAAATGATGTTAGTGTATAAATTATTTTCTCCAAACTAAAACCTCAGTATTGGGGCTGGTGAGATGGCTCAGTGGTCTAGAGCACCTACTTAGAACAAGCTTGGCAGGGCACAGGGACCACGGTTCAATCCCCCAGCACCACATGCCAGCCAGCCCCGCCCCCTGGTGGGCTGAGCTGGCCACACACATACACACACACAAATAAATAAATAAATAAAATTAAAAAAAAAATAAATAAAACCTCAGTATTATTGTTAGAACTTTGTGATAGATAAGTGGGTTTGAGGTTGGAGTTTGGGCACTCAAGTCTAAAAGATTCACCATTATTGGTCTAGGTTACTGCTATGGTTTTACTATGGTGCCTTCCTGAACTCATGGAGGAACTTAAACCCCAGAGTCTTGCATATTAATGGTATTAACAGAATGTAAACTGTGGTGGATTAATTACTGGTCAGTTTAAGTGGAAGCTCCCAGCTGAACTGAGTTAGCATGGTTCTGGGCATGGAAGACCTACATGAGGATTATTACCAATGGCATAAAGGAGGGGAAGATTGCATGCTGTTGATTCTCCTGGAGTAGCTTGTTGCAGCTGGTCTTGTTGATACACACTCGACTGTTCTTGACATTGAAAGAACACAGGTTCTTACCCTGCCCAGGGATGCCTGCCATTCTCTTCAGAGAGCTCTGATCTTCACCTTTGTCTTGAGTGTTGCTTCCTAGATCCAGTGCAGACCTCTCAGCCTTCTGCCACAGATCTCCTACCCCAGCAGCACAAAAGTTCTAGCTTGCACCATTGGCCGTTGGGCTTTCTCCAGTGTAGATCTTTGTTAGAGAATGGCATGAGATATTTCCATGAGATGCAGGCACTCAGCTGTTTTATTTGGTTCTCCACTGCATGGATGGATCTCTTGAATTTTTCTGCATTGGATTTTTTAGGTTAATATTGTGAAAATAATCTTATAAATTATATGTCTTGTATTAAATCTGCTCCGTTGCAAACCCTGACTACAACAGAAACTTATTCTGACTATGGTATTTAAAAGTGAGGCCTTTAGGAGATTATTAGAAGTAAAATAAAATAATTAGACCAGAAGCTCCCATGGTTGGAATGTCCATGGTAGTATTTAAAGCAGAGAGAGAGAGAGAGAGAGAGAGAGAGACAGAGAGAGAGAGAGAGAGAGAGAGAGAGAGAGACAGAGAGAGACAGAGACAGATAGACAGACACAGAGAGACAGACAGACAGACAGAGACAGACAGAGACAGATATGTGTGTTCTCTGCACAGAGAGGCAGACAGACAGACAGAGACAGAGACAGATATGTGTGTTCTCTGTTTCTTGTCACCCCAGGACTCTGTGAGCAAGGCCATCACCAGATGAGGCCTCTAGACCTTGTATCACCAGAACTGTTAGGATTAAAAGTTGAAAGATAGCCTGGGAAACTTGGTGAGACTGCCTCAAAGTAAAATGAAAAGGGTTAGAGCTGTAGCTCAGTGGTAAAGCACTGGCCTATATTGTAAGTTCAGTCACCACTACTGACCACAAAAAGGGGAAACCTTGGGTATTTATTTATTTATTTATTTTTGCAGAACTGGGGATTGAACTCAGGCCCTTGCACTTGCCATGGAAGCGCTTATTCCACTGAGCAATCTCCCCGGTCCCAACCTTGGTTATTTTTTAGAGTAATAAAAATGGACTAACACAGCTAACTATTGGAAATGGAAATCCTTATTGCCTTTTTTTTATTTTATTTATTTATTTTTTTTTTTTTTGAGACAGGGTTTTGCTATGTAGTTCAGGCTGGCTTTGAAGTCACTTTTTAGCGGGGCTGGCCTCAAACTCACAGCAATCTTCCTGATTCAGCCTCTCAAGTGCTAGGATTATAGCAATTCATTACCACGTTCAGCCCTTATTGCCCTTTGAATTAAAAATACAATAAAGATTCTATGGCAGCTTCCTAAAAATGAAACAGTTTGATGAAAGGAGGTGGATAATGCTGTACTTCTTCCAACAGCCAAAAGGATAAGATAAATTGTATATGTTTTAGGTAGGCCTCAGTAGAATTCCTGGACTTGGTCTGGTTTGTGTAGTATGCATACTAGATGGCATGTTACTAATAAGCTAACAAGTAGAATTCCCATATAGAAAATAATGTAATACATTTAAGGAAGTCAGACTGAAACAGTTATGATGGGTTGTTTCAATTTTCACCTAGATATTCTACATTTCCTCATTTTTCTACACCATCAGTTATATCTGGTATCTGTACACAGAACTGAGGATGAAACACAACCAGAGTGAACAGAGCACATCGCCACTGGTAAGTTTTACTCAGAACTAATTGTTAAAAATAGTATTTTAACCACCTGTGTGGCACAAAGTGATAATCACAAAGGGGAGGCTGAAGCGGGAAGATTGATGCCAGCATGGGTTACAAAGTGAGTTCAAGGCTAGCCTGCACTGCAGAGTAAAACCTGTCTCAGGGCCAGCCAAATAGGTCAGCAGATTAAAGTGCCTGCAAGCAGGAGCAGGGCCCGGGGTGCCCTGAGATGGTGATTGAGACTGAGCGTGGTGGCGCATGCCTGTAATCCCAGCTCCTGGGAAGCTGTAAACAGGCGGAAAACTACAAGTCTGATCTATTAATGAGACCCTGAACACCCTGTAGACCCTTCCCTAAAAAAATACAAAAAATTTTTAAAAACCTGTCTCAAAAAAGACAAAAACAAACTAACACTTAAAAAATAAATAAACCCATATATCCCTGACAGACAATATTAGTACATAGCATGAGCAAGGAGAATTTGTGGAGGTTAATGAAAGAAAAACTATGTTGCACATTATTTTCCATTCTTTTATCACTTCCTTCCCACTCCCTCATGGTTTATTGTTGGAAACATTTGTAGTGCTAGCATTCCTGCCTGTTCTGATTCAGCAAGGGAAATCTTTGTCTCCAAGCCAACCCATCATTGTTACAAGAACAAAGCAAGAGATCAGGAAACGGCTTTATCAGCTGACCTGGGATTTGGGTTATAGGTATTAGAACAGGGGAGTGTTTGTTCTACTCTACTGTATCTTTAGTATGTATTGGTTTGCAGAAGGACATGAGAAGTCAATATGTGGTAGTAAAAAAAACAAAACGGCTGTAGAGAGCAGTTATCATTCCTTCTTTAATTTACAAATAGAATCTCTAGCATTATAGTGATAAAAAAGAGGAGAATGCTAAATCATTAATCTGGATTTTTTTGTATATATTACATGTCACATAATTTGTTTCAAGTGTACAGTAATGTTTTTTGGTAAAGTTACCACATTGTGTAATTGTCACCATACATCAATTTCAGAATATTTTATTTACTCCAATAAAATCTTTTATATCCTTTACTCTTATTTTTTTATATCCTTTACTATTAAACCACTTGCCATCTGTACTAGGGAACTGCTATTTTACTTTCTGTCTCTACAGATCTTCATTTTTCTGGACATTTTATATAAATTCTGAACTTTATATGGTCTCTTGTGTCTAGTTTCTTTGACTTATGATAAATCATTGAATTTCATGCATTGAAGTCTGTGTAAATAAATCATTCCTGTTTTATTGCCAAGTAGTTTTTGATTATATGATAAACTGAGTTTCTTCTTTCTGATTCTTTCAGTATGATATTCTGTGATTGTGGTAAATATTTGTAGTAATGCTATCAATTTTCATTGTTTTAAATGTGTTTATATACATTAATCTTATTCATATCTTGCTATGTATTCTAATCTCATTCATGCAGTATTCATTCTATTATGGTTTTTTTTTCTATTATGTTTTTTTTGAGGGAGTTTTCTTTAACGATACAATAGAGTAAAACCATCTGGAAAGCCTCCCCAGGCAAGGCTGAATCCTCTGGAGCTCCTGGGGTCTAGATATCACTTCTAGAACAAACAAAAACTGGCAACCTGTCAAGCACATGAAGCATAGTAAATATTTGTCTCAAGGTTATATGTCCTTGTATATTTGCCTGCTTATAGGATCCTAGAAAAGGGCATTTGGAGATTAATCAGATCTGCCTTTTAAATCCAAACCTACTACTTATTTTCTATATACCCTAGGTTCTTTTTTTAAGTAGCAAAGTTTATTTGAAAAAGTGAAAGTGAAGAATGAGAGAGACACTGGTTCTGCAGAGTGAATTTGGGCCAAGTAAAAGAGGGAAAAACAAGATTAAAAAATACACCCTGGAGGACACAAGGTGGGCCTGCTGTGGGGAAAGCCATGCTAGCCTGTCCTAAGGTTCCTGGGCCTCAGTTTTTCATCATAAAATAAGGTGTTGATCTGTCTCATCTTTAATGAGCCTTCCAGCACCAAGATGTTATGATTCTATGAAATCT